CAACACACATTGCTTATGGACCCCTGGTGTGGTGGTGTAGGGTAAGCAGTGGACTTCTAACCACAAGGTCAGTTATTAAGTTCCACTAGACATGGGTAGGATATGCTGTAGGATAAGCACAGGACTATGAGCCACAAGGTTGGTGGTTTGAGCTCACTAGCTCCTCTGAAGGAGAAAAATGAGACTTTGTGCTTCGAAAAGGTGTACAGCCTCAGACACCCTGTCATGCAGTATTGCCACAAGTCGAAACTAACTGAACAGTACTAAACAACAACACAGAAATAATATCATGGTAGTTGCAGTGAGTTAGCCATGTGATCAAGAAAATGAAAAAAATATTATTTTGATGGTTTTTTGATATTATTAGTGAAACTTCAGCTAAATCTAAACATAAAGGCAACATGCAGAGCATTCAGAGTGAAAAGTCTCTGTTACTCCTCAAATCCTGAAGTTGGTGATCTTAATTTAAAGATTGATGTGCTACTGCAGTTAGGCTTTAGATGGGGAACGGGTGCTTTGACTGAATATCAGAAAAATAGTAGTCATCTTTTAAAGTTAAGATGCAGCTAATAACGTTATTAAAGAGAGAACTGGCTGAACACATGGACTCCTGAATCAGATATGTAGTACCTGGAGATATTAACTGAAGGCTTAATACTCCATTTTCTGAAAAACTTAATGAATGAAATGCCTTTCTAGCTATACTTTGTTTTGAAATTTTGATTTCCTTAAATATTTAATATTAGAAGTAGATTTCTAGAAAATGTACTTAGAAGAAATATGTATTTGTTTGATTGCTGTGGGAAATTGATGTTAATTAAAAAAAAATCTTATTAGTACAGTGTGCTCAAAGCTTACATTAACAATGCTTTTTCGATTTAAAAGTATTCTGTACTTTAAAAAGTTTGAGCATCCAAGTACATATAGGAGAAGTTAGAATTCATTAGAAACCCCATCATGAGCAGATAGCCTCTGTAAGTGTTACTGTGTATTTCCTTTTCTCACAGTGTGAGAGTGTGTATGAGGCAGCCTGCAGAGCTTCAAAAATAATGTGGTGAAAGTTTACACAGCGATTTAAGTTCCCATTTAATAGTTTCTATACATATTGCCTATTGGAAGGAACTCTGGTAACGTAGTGGTTACAAGTCAGGTTGCTAACCTCAAGGTTGGCAGTTCGAAACTACCAGCTGTTCCGTGGGAGAAAAAGGAGGCTTTCTGCTCTCATAAAGATTCACAGCCTCGGAAACCCTGTGCAGGGTCGCTATGGGTCGGAACTGACGGCACACGTATAACCACAGCCACCTCACAACTGAGTGAGCCCTGGTGTGACACTGTAGAATAAACACTAGACTGCTATCTAAAGTCGGCTGTTCAAACCCACTAACCACTCTCGGAAACCCTGTTGCTGACTCAAAACCGACTCGACAGCGTACAACAGGGTGCGTATTGTAACGTGACGTCCGTTACCTATTTTATAGCGTGTCAACATTCCATTACTTCCATTCTGGTGGCTCTGTTCACACTACCTCCCTGACCCCTTCTCCGGCTTGCCTTTGCTCTAAGTTAAATGCTGGCCCTTTGGTCTAGAGTTGATTCCTTTTTGTGTTTTTTTTCCCCCCACGAGCAAAGTACTCACAGGTGAGGTTGTTTATTTTATGGTTTTGCTAGTCCAATAAGTATGGCCTTTTTACAAAGAAAAATTTTGAGTTTCTCCGTTTTTCTCCCGTTCTATCCAGGTCCATCTACTGTGTACCTGGCCAGAATGGTTGCTAATGGTAACAGCACCATCTGGTTCTTCTCTCTTCACACATAGTGTTTTGTAATCTGTATTACTTTTCTACTTGAAGTAAGTAATGATAATTTATGCCATTAAATGCTGTGGGTTAATGCGTCCGACTGCAAAGCTGTTTGAACTGCAAGGTCGGTGGTTCAAGCTCACCAGCTGTTCCTCGGAAACCCTACACAGGGTCGCTATGGGTCGGAACTGACTCTATGGCACTTAACAACAACAACCTCAAGAGTTGTAAACTTGGGTTCTTGAAATCCCTGACAAAATATGTAAAAATGTGCATTTTGTGGACATCTACCCCCCCCCCTTTTTTTTTTAAATCCTGGGAAGATCTGTACTTTTCATCTGATTGTCTGAAGGGCCTGTAATAGTTAAGAACCAAAGCCATTCTTAATAACTACATTGTAATATTTTCTATTTTCTTATTTTGGATAGCAGTGTATTGGAAGTATAATATAACCTGACCAAGAACCTTTTATTCCAGCAATGCATGGGTAATATTTTATTTAGAATCTCTTCCTCTGTATTCAGAAATAAAATTGGCCTACTGTAGTTTTCATTTTTAGAATGAGTTTTATCAGCTTTTGGTAGTATCCTGTTGTTTGTTGTTAGGTGCTGTTGAGTTGGTTTCCATTCATAGTGACCCTATGCACAGTCTAATGAAACACTTGCCTGGTCCTGAACCGTCCTGACAGCTTTGATACTATCATATGCTATACATAAAACACACAGGAGGATGCTCTTTATTTTTCTGTGGTCTGTAATAGTTTAAATGATATAAAACTGACTTTCATCTTCCCGCATGTTGAGTAGGCCCTGTGCTTTAGTGGTAGCAGTTTACATCTCCTATATCTTCTAAAGATGCTGCTCTTTTCAGCGTTCTGTCTTCTTGACTCTGTTTTGTTGTTTGCATTTTCTAGGAACCTTTCTTTAGCGATGCTCTTGTTAGGTGCTGTTGACTTGGTTCCTACTCAGAGTGACCTTACACACATCAGAAGGAAACACTGCCTAGTCCCATGTCATCCCCACAACTGTTATGTTTGAGCCCATTGCTGCTGCCACTATGTCAGTCCTTTTTCTTGGGGTCTTCCTCTTTTTTGTTGACCCTCCACTTAACCAAGCATGGTGTCCTTCTCTAGGGGACTGGTCCCTCCTGATAATATGTCAGAGGTATGAGGCACAAAATCTCACTATTCTGGTCTCTAAGGAGCATTTTGGCTGTACTTCTTACAACACAGATTGGTTTCTTACTCTGTCAGTCCATGGTACATTTAATATTCTTCTCCAACACCGTAACGCAGATGTAACACTTCTTCGTCTTCTGTTGGTATACTGTTGCTAATAATATTCTTAAATAAATTTTGAAATCTATTTTGTGTCTGGGGACATACCTTTCTTAAGAATTACGTATTGTTTACTTGTTGGTGATTCCGAATTAATGGATCATCAATAAAGAAAGACACTTTAGTTACATAATGACTTTGAAATGGTTTTTGCAGTCTAGGGAACAAAGCTAATGTATACTGTTGTTATTTATTGTTAAGTGCCGTCCAGTCGATTCTCATCCATTGTATAGGTTTCTAAGGAGCAGCTGGTGGGTTTGAACCACCAACCTTTCAGTTAGTAGTACAGTCCTCATCCTGTAACACCTCACCAGGACTGTATGTATAACATAACCTGTACAAATTTACCAGTGATCCAGCTCATAATTTAAAATAAAGCTGATAAGCTAAGGTTGGGTCTTGAAATGCTGTTTTTCCTCAAAACTAGAATAGCTGATTCTAGGTCTAGGGAGGAAAGCCACAAAGAGAGCCTGTAATGTCTTCTGTATTGGAACATGATTAAGCCTAAAGCCTCAGGAGTGTGCTTGGAGAAGCCCCCATTGGTCCAGAATGGGAAAACTAGTGTAACAGTTAAAATAATGGTTTTGGGTTGAAGTACCTGGCAGATGTAAATCCCTGTTTCTAATGTTGATACAAATGAAAAGCTGACGGGTCACGGTTTTGTTGCTTTTGCAAGTGCTGTCAAGTCAATTCTGACTCACAGTGATCCTGTATAGGGATTCTGAGGAGCGACTGGTGGGTTTGAACCTGCTCACCATTTTTGTTGTTGTTAAGTGCTGTCGACTTGGTTCTGACTCATAGCGATCCTGTATAGTTGGTAGGTGAGGAGTAGGTGGCCAGGGAAGGTGAGAGGCACATTGGAAAGGGAGAAGGTTCTTGAGCAACGGTGGTCCTTTGGTAGAGCTGAGAAGAGAAGGACCCTTCTTTCCTGTGTGTACTTAGTTGGCTCCCTGATAGCGGCCATTCCTGTGAGTGGTCTTCTTGTAGGTAATAGTCTAGGTACCAGGGACTTTACGTAAATGAAGTATATTAGACACTTTGGTACCTTCTGTGTTCCAAACTTCAGGACTCTGCAAAAGGACACAAACCCTTACAGTAAAACACACAGTTGAGCGTAAGGGAGAGCAACAGGGAAAAGCACAGAAAGGTCTCTCAGTTTGAGTGGATGCTCTAAAGTAGAAAACTTATTAGTCGGCTCTTAGATTCCGTGCCTTGATCATTGATACAGCTGATACCTTGAGGCTCATGTTCATAGAAAGATCATGAGTCTTCAAGAAGAAGCTTCAGTTATTTTTATTATACTTTGGTTTTAAATATCTAGGAAATATATAATTCAATTTGGACACATTTTTATAAAAAATAATTTTTAAAGCAAATATTGTCTAAATGGGTAAATTATTCCTATATTTGGATAACTTGTTCTTTATACTACTAGTTTGGTAATATTTTTGCCATAAATGAATTTTTGATGTTTTAAGTACTATTTTTCTTTCAGTTTTTTGTAGCATCGGATCCAACAGTTAAAACAGATAGACTCTGGCATGATAAGTATACTTTAAGGAAATCAATGATCCCTTCCTTTATTACAATGGATCAATCTAGAAAGGTAACGCTCAAAAGACATTTTTGTGATTTTGATGTTTTAATATAAACAGTATATATCTCATATTTTTTAAAAAATGAAACAAAGTTGTATAGCATTTTAATATTTTTTATCATTCTTGAGGTAAAATATATATTACTTGAATATGTTGTTGTTAGGTGCTGTCGAGTCGATTCTTACCCATAGCTACCCTGTATAGGGTTTCTGAGGAGCAGCTGGTGAGCTTGAACTGCCGACTGTGCTATTCAAACTGGCCTTGCCGTTCAGCGCAGTAACCCACAGCGCCACACCAGGGCTCCTTGAAATATGATGTTATATTAATCTGATTTTGTTGAGTTCCTAGAATTCATTTGATACGAATACTGTTGCTTTTGTTTTTGAATTTTTAATCAATAGCCAATGTGTAGCTTATGAATATGTCCAATATTTATAGGATTTGTGATTTTAATTTCATATAAAAGTGTAACCATAGGATAATTCCTTTTTTTTTAGGTTCTTTTGATAGGAAAATCAATAAATTTCTTGCATCAGGTTTGTCATGATCAAACACCAACTGCAAAGATGATAGCGGTGACGAAGTCTGCAGAGTCGCCCGAGGACGGTAGGACAATGACACTGTCTTCCTTCACTGTGTTCTCCTCTGGGCTGAGTCATCTCAGTTACCATTGGAAATGCCTTCGTACAGAGTATTATATACATAAACTATGTATTGCTATGAAAATGCCTTATAATAAAACAGTAAATATTGAAATAGTTGTACGTATTTTAACTTTTTTTTTTTTTAGTAATTTGTATTACTTTTTTATAATGATCATGCCGAAATATGAAAGTAAAGGTAAAATTTTCTGATGGTATCTATGCTTTGGATTTTGAAGTATTAATCAGAGATTAGTAAAGTAGAAGTACTTATTGTGTCCAGAATGTTGTGTTAAATTGTTGCCCCCCCTTTTATTCTTGCCCCCAACCTAAAAAATGTATGGTGTTTTATATGTGGCTGACTTATTTTGATAGCTTTCCAGTTCTAATTATACTGCAATTTATATGGTCGTCTTGTTTCATTCAACAAGTATGCTTTGCAGAGAACATTGTGGTAGGTCTTGGGAAATAACATGAATTCACCATGAATTCCTCCTTCAGTGAGGTAATGGAGACTATCGTATTGTTAGTCTGTTGTGAGGTGCCATCGGTGGGCATTGACTCATAACGACCTTATGCACAGTAGAACAAAACACTGCCCGATCCTGGGCCAACCTTTCCGGCACTGTATCTGACAGTGTTTCTCTGCTCTTCATAAGGTTTTCAGTGACTAAATATTCTGAAGTAGTTTGTCACTCCTTCTTCCTAGTCTGTCTTCGTCTGGAAGCTCATCTGAAACCTTTCCACCATGGGTGACCCTGCTGGTATTTAAAATACCGGTGGCATAGCTTTCAGAATCACAGCAACTCACAAGCCACCACAGTACGACAAACTGACAGACGAGTGGTGGATTATTATTATTATTAGTCTAATACAGTAATATATATTTGTTTCAGAGTTCCAGTACCATCTTGTGAGCCCTCTTGGCCCAGTATTTTGTGGTGTTGCTCACAGAGCTCCTCACTACACGTCTACCCGATCTGCCATTTTGAAGGTGCAAGGCCTGGTAGTGTAGTGGTTAAGAATCTGGCTGCGAACCCCGCGATCAGCAGCTCGAATCCACCAGGCCCTCCGCGGGAGAGAGATGAGGCTTTCTGCTCCTTGCAGTTAAAATGGCCTTGGATTCTGGCGCATTAACCCGCATCACCACACCAGGACCCCGAATCTCGCTGCTGCCCAAGAGGCACTCACTCATCTCTGCCGAGAAATTTGGAAGACAACT